GCACAGTCAGCACAGGCCCCTTACAAACCTTCATTCCAAAGGGTGGTTTGATAGCGTTTGGCCTCCACATGGATAGCCCCTCCTCCACCATGTTATCAGCTGTCTCCCAAATCAAAAGGAGTTCTCTTTTCCCTAAATCTGTCTGCTCTCAAGTTACCCCATGGAGCCAACTGCTCTGTGTTATATTTTCTTGTGTCAATTTATATTCAACAAATGTAACTTAGAACTGACATACAAACATCTGTGTCTCTTCATTTTTCCTTTTTGAATTTTTGTCCTTCTTTGTCACCCTTTTTGATAGTTCATCTGTAAACATTGAGAAATCATAGCATACAATTTGAGGTGCTCCATCTCTGCTCAGTGAGCATTTCACCACCTAATACAGGAAGATAATTGGAAAAGCAAGCATTTGGTCCTCCCTGCCCAAGGACCTTCTCAGAATAAAGACCAAGCTCTGTTCACAGGGTTCAAGCCCCCAGAACAGGGTTCAACCAATGAATAGGGATTGGTGCACAGATTTCCCCTGGGTGAGCCTTCTGGTCGACCAGAGATCTTCGCAGAGTTAGAGCTCAGATACCTTCAGGAACTACCTCTTCATTATGTCACTCTGCTGTCTTTCCTCTCCACATTGGAACATTTTCCATCTTTCCTATAGTGTTTCCTGGGATTAATTTGCAAATAAATTCTTGGATCCCAAAACCCAAATGAGGATCTTTGTGAATATTTATCCAGACGAGTTATATTGTTTTCTTACTCTCTGTGTGCCTGCTCCTGAACAACTTTTCATCATGGTCAATTCTTGGTTTGACTCTCACAAACCAAACTCATAAATCCTCTGAGCAAATGGCTGTTTCCTATCAATTTTTACAGTACCTTTTAGAGTTGTCATCTTGAATGTTTACTTTCTGTACATCACGGCATATGAGGTACATGAAAAAATATCCCTTTCCTAACTCTTTTAAGGAGCTACCACCTTAGGCTGTGTGAGATGACGCTGTGTATAAGGATGTGTCACCATGTGATCTGTGTGTTCATCAGGGCTTACTAAAAACAGAACCGTGAAGTGGAGGATTTTTTTTGGTTTGATACTGTTTTGTTTTAGGAAAGGTAAATGAAGAATAGCTTTCAGGAGATATCTGAAAGCAACCATGGGAGACATGTTACCTCATGTAACATGTTCTGTGATTTCCATACCCACTCTGATTTTCCAGGAAGCTCTAGACACAAGGAAACTATATCTGCATCTTGTAGAAGTGATGTGGCTGGACCGTAGCACTTCTACTCAGTTGTCACTAGCTGGGGAAGTGGGTTTGGAACAGACAGGGCAGAATGTTCCAGAGGAAGTGGCATCTATATTGGAGAACAGAGCCAGTGAGCACTGTGTACACAATTAGCTTGATGATGGGAGCACATTCAGGAAAAAGCTCTATCAGGAGGGGATCATGGTCCATTATATTCAGCCATTGGTCTTCCAATGTCTTCCCAACTTGTTAGATAATATTTCTGGAGAACATTATCTTAGAAGTGTTATTAGGCTGGATTTTTGCCTGATCAAATGGACTTGCCTAGAAAGATCACCTGGGTCTCACCCTAAGAGTTCTGAGGCTTCGTGGCCTGTAGCTCTTCGATTTGCTCATTTGCAGTTAAAACTGGAAGAATATTTCCAGGGACAACACCTTCACTCTCACATATGCTAAAAACATTTCTCTTCACTCCATCGTGTAGCATTCCTGCTAATTTCTCCCAATAATGAGGTCAGTTACAAGTTGGCATAGCCTCTTTCATAGCCTGAGCATCCATTGACATGAGAGGCCTAAAGAGATAAGGTGACAGACATAGATTGCATTGCAATGGAACTCAAGCTACCTCTCCTCATTTCTGGAGTCTCCTCACTTCTGGAGCCAGGACACCATCTACCATAAAGCCTAAATTTGTATAGTAAAGAAGTATAGATTTCCTGCTAAAGATCCCTTGGTATATAAGTCAGTGAGATAGGTCCAACAATCAAATGCTTTTCTTTTCTGTATTAGTGTATTCTAACAATAGGAGCCATAGCTCCACCACATGGTCCTGGTTTATGTGTTTACTGCGTCATGAGTGGTAGTGCTCCATCCTCACATGTGGACCTTACCATGATGGAGCTTGTGCCATGGTATAAAGTGGTCCAGACATCATATTATTCATTCATCTGCTTCTAGGTGGTGAGAAATAATGTAGAATGTAGAAACACTGAACTCTCATGGGCATATATAAATGGTCCTACAACTTTTCCTATATATTTGGGTTTATTAATCCTAGGTGGAGTGACTGAAGTCTCCATGGTGCTACATCAAATGTGTTTGAGCCTCAATATGGTGACTGAGGCTCTTTAGGCTGAAAAGCAGACACTTACCCAGACTAAACGCCAACACTAGTCAGAAACAAATAACTGGCTCATATTCTCAGGTGTGGTACCCTAATAGGATCTCTGTGTTGGTCTCTTGATGGATGATGCTTTAGTCAATTTTTTCATGGTTCTGACCAAAAGACCTGACAAAAACAATGTTTGAGGCGAGAAGGTTTATTTGACATTCAGGGACTCAGATGTCTCAGTCAATAGATGGCTGACTTGGTGCTCTGGGCCTAAGAGGAGGCACAACACCAGGCCAGAAGGATGTGGAGGAGCCACAGAGATCAGGACATGGTGATGAAGAAGCAGAGAGATGGTTCCACTCACCAGGGACAGAATATCAACACCAAAGGCATGGGATTTTTCTCTCTGTCCTCCACTCTATTGCACTTGTATTCATGCTCATTTTGGTGCCAATACCATGCTGTTCTTCTAAATGGAGCTCTGTAGTATGATTTGAGGTGATGCTGACATGTTTTTACCTTTGCTTTTCTCATTTAAGGCGGCTTTGGCTATTCAGAATCTCTTATTGTTCTCAATGAATTTCATAATGGCTTTTTCTTGTTCTGTGAAAAATGTCATTGGAACTTTTTATGGAAATTCCATTGAGTCTGAATAGCACTTTGTGTTATATGGGCAGTCTGATAATATTTATTCTGCTTCCCAAGAACATGAGAGGCCTTTCCGTGTTCAAACATCTGCTTCAATTTCTTTCTTTAGTGCACTGTTGTTGTTTTTTTTTTTTCCATTGTTAAAGTCCTTAATTAGTTTTGAGAGAATGATTCCCATTTATTTGGGGGGGGGCGGCATTGTGATTGAGGTATTTTGCTTTTTAGCAGATTGATCATTTGAGTATAGGAAAACATTTAATTTACAAGTGTTGGTCTCATATGCTACTCCATAGCTAATCTACAACAATCTCTAAAAGTCTTCTGGTGGAGTTCTTTGCTTCTTCTAAATAGAGGATCATATCATCAATTGAGAGAATTTGAGCTCTTCCTCTCCTATTCATATTTCTTTAATTTCCTTCTATTGACTGATTACTCTGGCTAGAGTTTCAAGAATGTGTAGAATGTGAGTTGTGAAAGTGAACATCCTTGCCTTATTCCTGTTTTTATATAAAGTGCTTTTCATTTTTCTCTGTTTAATGCGATGTTTCTCTTAGGCTTGCCATATAGAGCCTTCACAATGTTGATGTAATTTCTTTCTAGCCTTAGTTTTTTTTTGTTTGTGTGTTTGTGTGTGTGTTTTAAACATGAGTGGGTGCTGTGTTTTCTCCAATTATTTTTCTGCATATTTTGAGATAATTGTATGATTCTCATTTTAAAGACCATTGTGGGGGGTTACATTTATTGATTTCCATATTTTGAACCAAACTAGTATCTCTGGGATGAAAACCACTTTACCATAGAACATTGTCTTTTAATGTGTTTTTGGATGTTCACTAAGAATTTTTGATTCTAGAAGCATCAAGGATATTGGCCTGACGTGTTCTTTCCTTAATGAATCTTTCTCTGATTGTTGCCCAGGGTGATAGTGGCTTCATAGAATGAGTTTGGCAGTGTTCTCTCCTTTTCTATTTCAGAGAATAATATGATAAGAATTTGGATTGGTTCTTCTTAAAAAGTGTGGTAGAAATTGCCAGAAGTTGGTGGAATTCTGGTAAAATTTCTGTTAAAAATTTTCCATTCCTGGGCTTTAGTTGGAAGGGTTTTGATTACTTTTTCAAATTCATTTCTTGAGTTAATCTATTTAAGTCTTAGATATCTTCATGGTTCAATTTTGGTAGATCATATGCCCCTAGGAATCTGTCCATATCTTTAAAATTTTGTAGCAGATTGAAGTATCAATTTCCATAAAAGTTTCTGGTGATCCTCTGGATTTCAATAGTATCTGTGGTGATCTTTACTTTTTCATCTCAAATTTTGTGAATTTGCTCATTTCTCTTTCATTCAATTAGTTTGGTTGGAGTTTATCAGTCTTGTTGAATCATTCCAAAATAACCTGCTTACTTCATTGATCTTTTGCATTTTTAAAAAAAAATCAATTTTATTGATTTAGGCTCTAATTTGGTTTTGATTTGTTTTTTTGTTTTTCTAGGGCTATGAGATGTTAGATTATATATTTGACATCTCTCTTTGCTTTTGATACCTAAACTCAATGCTATAATTCCTTTTAGAATTGGTTTCATACTGTCCCAGAGATATTCATATGTTGTATTCTTATTCTCTTTTACTTCTAAGAATTTCTTAAATTTGTCACCTGATTTCTGCTCCTATCTGTTCATCATTCACAAGTATACTATTTAATCTCCAGGTATTAGAGTGATCTGTTTTTTACATCATCTTTGGTTCCTAATTTCATTTCATTATGATCTGATAGGAAGCTAGGTATTTTCAATAATACTTTGAGTTGGCTAAGATTTGCTTTGTGACCTAGAACATGGTTTATTTTAGAAAATGTTCCATATGCTACTGAGAAAAAAGTGAAGTCAGACATTGATGGATGAAATATTCTAGAGATATCTATTAGGTCCAGGTTACTAATTGTATTGTTGAGTTCTGTGTTACTAATTGTATTGTTGAGTTTTTTCTGGATGATTTATCCAGTCTTGAGAGAGGTATGTTAAAGTCAATCAGTATTATTGTATCATTGTCTCTGTGATTCTTAATACTAAGAAGGATTGGTTATGTATTTGGATGTTCCATTATTTTAGGCTTAGTATTGATGCTCATTATCTCTTGTTGATGATCCATGTAAGCACTATGAAGAGACCTTCATTGTGTCTTCCATTTAATCTTGGCTTGAAGTTCATTTATTTTTTTCTGATACAAGAATAGCTATCATTGCTTGTTTATGAGGCCCACATGAATGGTATATGTTTTTCCTATTCTTTTACCTTCAGTCTTTGGATACTTTGCCTGTGAGGTGAGTCTATTGCAGACAACATATTGCTGGGTCTTGTTTTGTACTCCAGGCTGCCACCCTCATGTCTTCAATTGAGGACTTCAGACCATTTGCATTCAGGGTTATTATAGAGAGGTGATTTTATTTCCTGCCATATTCAATGATTTTTAATGTTTCAGTTGGTCTTGATTGTTCCTTACTCTTTTTCTAGTGTAATTTCTTCATATAATGATTTTGGTTTTTATTTTTCAATTCACCTTCATAAAATGTTTTATTAAGTATGCATTTGAATTACAGGCATTGTTGTTCTGAATTAATTTAGTGTCTGTTTATCATATAAGGTTTGCTTTCATCTTTGATTCTGAAGCTTAAGTTTGATGGCTGTAGCTTTCTTAGTTGGCATCTATTTTCTTTAAGAGGTAGGAATATACTATTCCAAGCCCAGCAATCTTTCAGTATCTTGGTTGAGATATCAGGTGAAATCCTATTGTTTTAACTCTACCTTTGACTGGTAATTTTTCTCTTGCAGCTGAAATGTTTTCTGAAATATATGGAAATGAGTTTAGATAGTAATGTATAATGATACTGTAAGAACAGATACAAATACAATCTATGGCAATGACACATTTCTATCACTCTACATATTTCTCTGATTACCTATATTGCTTCAAATCAAAACTCACAATATTTATTATTATAATATATATATATATATATATATATATATTTCATTCCTCAATATTTAAATGAGCTATGAGTTTAACTGGGAAATAAACTGTTTGAATAGAAACTATGTACAATTTCCTATCAGTTAGACATGAGTATTTTGTCTCTATTTGGATGATATGTTATACTAAGACTTGTTAATTCAGATAATTCTAGTACATATTAACTATGGACACAATATGTTACAAATATTTACTTTAAAAAGATTGTGCAATAATGAAATATATGTGACACCTGAGAGGAAATGTGGCTTTTTCATGCCTTTGTTTCAAAGATATATTAATGCCATGAGTCCATGCTACTCATATACATAACCCAATTCCTGGAAAGTGTTAGTTGTGTCTATGTCATTTGTTCTTTATTGTACCATTCAATACAGGAAAGGAAAACCTACTGAGAACAAATATACTACAATGTCTCTAAAACTCTATATCATAAAAAAGGTGAGTTTGTAGACCTCAGATAATTCATCCATATGGACCAGAAGTGAATTCTTCATTCTATTTCCCTAGACCATGGGTAAAATTTAGGAAGGAGTGCATAGAGTTATGTCTCTCCTGTATTCAGTATCCTCCATCAGAATCCAGTGTGTGGTTGACAGTGATATTCCATGATCTTCATGCTGTTTTGGTTCCTTCTCATCAATAGGATTCTTTGCTGTGGAAAAAACGATTCTGTGAAACTCCCTAAATGTTTGTAGAAAACTTTCCGATAGTAATCAAAATTTTTGAATATGTTTCATTTTTCCCCCTGCCGTGCCTGCACATCAATCCAGTGAATTATCTCCCCACTCCAACATTGTAGTATTTAAACATGTCTTATTCTCCTGTCTCAGCAATCAAACCCTTAATATAAAAACACCTGAATCAGACGTTTCCTAAGCAATATAATAGGATGGAAATATTAAAAGGGTTTATTCTTTAAAGAGCCTAACTAAAACTTGACAAAGACAATGAAGATTGCCATCATAGAGAAACCAAATACTCTCTTCCTTCCTGTTTGTTACATAAGGAAGACTAACTACCAGACTGGCAGCACCCCTCCTCTTGAGCAAAAGAAGTCAAAGGCTTTTAGCAGTGGAATTTGTTGACCTTAGAGCTTTGACTTCATCCTCACTATGGATATATGTCACTGATATGCATTGTCGAGATATCTGTTTTCAGTTTGCCTCTGATTTTCATTTGGTTGTTTGATTTGTTAGATTATAAAACCTAAATGGTGAAACCAGATCAATAACCACAACAAAGAAAAAAGAGAACGCTTAATATCTCCAAAGCCTAGTCATCATGGCAGGTGGGAGTGAAATGAAAAAGGAGGAACCTCAGTGGTTGTCAACAGAGTGCTGGACACCAGGACTTCCCTCAGGAGACCCTGAAGTTCCTTTTAGAGATTGGTTGCAGGGGAGAGAAAAACATGGAATATCATGACCTAGGTTCATGGCAGGTGGGAGTGAAATGAAAAAGGAGGAACCTCAGTGGTTGTCAACAGAGTGCTGGACACCAGGACTTCCCTCAGGAGACCCTGAAGTTCCTTTTAGAGATTGGTTGCAGGGGAGAGAAAAACATGGAATATCATGACCTAGGTTCCCCCCTGACAAATGTTCTGTGTATTCCATTAAATGTCTAAAATGTCACAAGATTGAGAGTGGGAATGGGGAATGAGTCCTAGTGTCCTCTCTGCTCTGGTGCATGGTCTGTGATGCACATTCCAAACTTCTTACCCCGGAAGACTCTTAGGGAAAGAGCCATGAGATGACAAAGCCAATGCTTAATTGTGTGGCCCCAGAAGTAAATATGGGATGCTAAAGTCAATCTTTCCCAAGACACACATGATGAACTCTGGCATTGACACTGAAGCCCAGCAGGAAAAGGCAGAATGTCATGTGACACGTCTCTTTGCGGAAGGAGAGCTAGAAAGACACTTGAGAGATGATCCAGGAAGAGCTGACAAATGAATCCTAACACATCAGGGAAAGGAAATCCTGTTCTCCATTCCACCTGAAATTGGACCAAAAATAAGTAGGCCTAATTGAATAATAGCCCGTTTACTAATACAAACAAGACAAGGAAAGGGTGTTTCATATGAAGACAGCAGCCCCTTAGCAGGATATAAAAGGGGACATGGGTCAGAGAGACCTCCAAACCTTCCAAACCCACCTTCCTAGAAACCCCAGAACCTCCAGTCTCTGGCACCATGTGCAACTCCTCTTGTGGCTCCTGCTGCTCTGGCCAGGGCTGTGGCTGCTGCCAGCCCAGGTGCTGCCAGACCACCTGCTGCAGGACCACCTGCTGCCGCCCCAGCTGCTGTGTCTCCAGCTGCTGCAGCCCCTGCTGTGGTGGCTCCAGTGG